AACGGTAGCATTCAGATGCAGAGAGCAGGATGGTTTGTGTATTGTTAGATTTTATGGCAATTGCTGGAATACTGTCAAGGGCAGGACAGAAAATCATGGACTGATTAAGGGCCGTCTGAGCTGAAAAGGAGGAATCTCTAAAAACTTGTCTCCAAAATCAGCTTCAGGAGTCCTGACAAAAACCATGGGGTAAAAAACTAACACAATAATGGTCAACATGTCACCTACACAAGACTGGGTTAACTTTCAGTGCTGGTGTTCATTGTACCCAGTTCCAATAAAGTTTTCAATATAAAGTAACCAAACCACGGCCAAATCACTTCGTTGCAGTTGCTGCAGATTTGAGTTAAGTCATATTTCCTGACACTACTTGTGACAATGATTTTTTTGTGAATATTGTCCACTGCTGCAAATCAAATTTCCCTTCCAGGGAAAATAAAGATCTGAACTGAACTGAACTGAACTGAAGTCTCTCAGCTTTACAGGAGCAATATAGTACAAAAAATATTCCCTAATTTATTCTTTGAAGACACTGTAGGAAATAGCTGTTGGACATCTCAGTCCAGAATCTCTCACAGGTGTTCATTTCTGTCTGGATCTGGTGATTGTTATTTCCACAACATTTGTTTCACAGATCAGTTAGCCCGTATATCCTTCTTGGAAGGCATCTACTTTTTGTTATGTTTTCCCATCATCTCATTTGTGGTTATCTTTACATTTGTCAACTGTTGGTATATTCCATATGCATGTTTATTTCTCTTATACTGTTATGATACAGGGTTGGGCACCGTGCATGTTCACAAGTCAAAATTCAAATTATTGTCCATGGCAAAGGTTTTCTAATACCACATGTCATTTTGCAGATACATTTCTGGAAGCTTTTGTTGGGGAACTGAATGAAATTACTTTTATAGAATGAATGAAAGGAATGCAAGCTCCTGTAAAAATATTCATATTTACAAATATTCTAAAGGTAGGGATAGGGCCTATATTATTATATTATATTATTTGCCAGATAAATAGAGCAAATATTAGCTATTAAAATCATTATAACACAAGTCCAAAATAGAAGTGACGTTATGGTTTAAGTACGTAAATCAGACTAAACAGTTTCAAAAACACGACTGTCATCCCAAAGTAGACAGATATAAAACTTACATCGTGACTTGATGTGGTGCGGCCCCCTGCTGGCTTCTTCCCATAAGGAACTCTCCTTGTGCAACCTGGCCAATAAATACAGATTCACAATCTACAAACATATGAATAGAAAGGAGAAATATTCTACAAAGGTCAAAATTGTAAAGACACATAAACAGAAAACATCAACTCATGATTTATTTTTTCAAAATGTTGGAAGTTCAGGCCTATGTGTTAAACTTGGCCAACTTTGTATGACTGAATAACAGAGTGTCAGAGTTCAGGGCATGTCCCTGGTACCCTGGCAACATGTGACCCGGTTTCTACGGCCCATCTGGATTTGGTATCGATACACCGCATGCTGTCTTAATTTAGCCGAAGTCATGTGACAGCCAGAGGCGGTTTGGGTTCTGATCGTAATGGCTCAATTGTTAATGGCTTTAATAGTCGACGTTAAATACTTCACCGCTACTTTGAGCCAATCATCAAGGTTAATGTGCCATCCAAAATCATTTTTCAGCCAGGCCTACATCACGTGCACAGGATTAAGAATAATGTCAACATAGTGTTTACAATAATAACACTTTGAAATAACGAAAACACGTAGCCTGTAACTTGTAATTTGTTTGTTTTTTTGACTTCCAGTCTGCCGTATTTAAATTAAAGTTTTTTTTTTTAATGGCCCCATACACTGCGAGTCTAGCACTGGCCTGGCATTGGACTGCGCGTTATCCGGTGTTTTGATGTTTCGAACGGTGGAAACAAAACAGACCAGGAAGCAGAAGAAGTAGCCCGATTTGTCACCTCGACACATTATGGTTGACTAAAGACTCACACTCCTGCAGCTTCTTCAATACACTTTCACCATCCAAACACGCACTATCATGCACACCAGGAGACCGTGAGCTGTGGAGGAGAGGATGCGTCACAGACTGACGTATCAGAAATGTGTGATCGTAGGCCTATACCTTTTTATTACAACCTTGCGTAACCGAAGCCAATGGATTCTGTAAGTTTTCAGAAAAAAAATCTACTTATAATATCTATATCTGAAGAGGTATGAGAAACAATGTTATCAGAATAACATGCGTCTTGATCCTCCCCTGTATACTTGAACACAGGGACTAAAGTAGGCTATGTTGTCACATTGCATTCCTATATTTAATAAAATAAAAAAATAAAAAACTTTTTTCATCGTCCTAATTATTTTGGATTCAATGAATTACCACAGGTAGATCTTATGGGGGTTGTGACCTGACACTATTGCATGGCAGGACAAGCTTCGTCTCGGCTAAATGGCCACATTAATGGGTCATCGAGGATCAAACAGACAACAGTTAGCCGTGTTCCACATCAAAGGCACGCGTTTCTGAGGCGCGACAATATCCACTGAGTTGTGCACGAAGGAGGGGTGAAGGGGGGGGGGGGGGTCATTTTGTATCAGTCAAGCAAACTATAAAGTCCTGATCGTATCCTGAGAGTTCACCACAGTCGAGTCGATCCTCCATCGGGAACAGCCTCTCCTCCTGCTTTGAGTGTCACCAGAGGATTGCATACGGTATGGATTTCAGTGGACGCAGTGTCTCTGAGATGAACGCTTTTTTCTCAGGACAATACTGGAACCCTTCTTGCAGCTTGGATATGAACAGCAATGATGATTACGCACTGGACACCAGCAAAGGTGAGTGACTGGATAGTGGATAATATTGTGGTCAGCATTTTATACTGCTACAGCAAAACTTTTGTTATTTTGAATTCAGGGCAGAACATGTAATAATTGATGATTGTTTTTTGTTTGTTTGTTGCATTCAGCCCATCACAGGACGCGCTCTGACCCCAGTCGTCGCCGGAAGCGCACTACTTTCAGCAGGGCGCAGCTGAGCGAGCTGGAGAGGGCCTTCTCTGTCACACAGTACCCGGACATTAAAATGAAGGAATCTCTTGCCTCAATAACTGGGCTACCAGAGTCCAAAATTCAGGTATGATACACTGTTCATAGACTTCAATTTTAATATCACTGAACGAGTGTAATTTTGGTTTAGATCCCTTTTAATATTTCTCCTCAAATAACCAACATTACTTATTTTCAACAGGTCTGGTTTCAAAATCGACGTGCTCGCCATTTCAAGAGCAAAAAACCGAACAAGGAGGTCCCCAAACCCTCCACAGACAACCCTCATCCAAACTTCTACAGTACCATTCCCAGTCCTCCTTACCCCCAGTTGGTGCCTTGCTTCTCTCCTACAGCCAGTTTACCATCACCACCAGGCTACCCTGCTCCAAGTTTACCCGAGTCTAGCAGGCTCTCATCCATCCTGGAGAATCAGGCAATGTCCCTGCCTGCACCCAAGCCTTCATCCCCTGACGAAGCCGGCCAAGCTACAGCCTTCTCCCCGCTTTGTGTCACAGGATCACCCCAAGAACATTACAACCAAACCCCTGCCTTTAGTCACTGCCATGATGTGTTCGCGGAAAGTGAACTGACTTCTTGGTCTCTGACGGAGGACTTTGAGGCTTTTCTTAGAGACGCACGGTTTGAACGTTATCCCTGCGCTGCAGTCAGACAGTCGGGGCCAAAGCAGAGTTTCCAGAGTCACCTGGAGCACCAAAGCGTCTCCAGTAAAAACGACGAGTCCATGGATGACCTCTCCGATCTGTGCTTTCAGGACCTGGGCGACTTCAACTTTTTGAGTTTGGACATTTCTGCGGCTATGATCGACTATCTTCTGGGTTGATCGAAAAAAGAGCAAACCGTTTTTGGACAAGGTTTAGACATTGTAAAAAAAAAGCTTTAGCTATTAGCCTATTTATTTATTATTGAGCTGAATGCCTTTTAAAAGAGCATTTCTCATATGACATTGTAAAAAGTATTTAGTGAAAGTAATTTACGCACTGTAGAGTATAACATCAGACAAAAATAAAAGACAAAAATTAAAATAGCGTATTGTTTTGATTGTGTTTCATTCATAGCCTCTATTTCCACTATCGTCATCATACGGCGCCGTGGCTTAGATGGTTAAAGCGCCTGTCTAGTAAACAGGAGATCCTGGGTTCAAATCCCAGCGGTGCCTTTTACAGCGACACAATCACATGAAGCTCCTAGTGATGACTTTAAGGCACAAACATTTTTAAAGAATGTACGTTTCAGTGAAGTGGTTTTTCCAATTTTACATCGAAGTGGTGCACTTTGGTGACGTTTGGTCAGAGTTATAAAACGTAATCAGTTTCTTTTTCCAATGTGGACTATCAAATCAGAAGTTTTTCTTTCAACATTGCAACACTTAAAAACTGTCGGAAGAGTGTGTTTACCTTGGCTATCTTTTGGCTCTTCGAATAGCTCACTCAAGTCATGAACAAAGAAAACCGAACAAAACGTATGACACCAAAGCTCAAAATTTGAAGGGTACAAAAGATTAAAAACAAACAAATCATCACCAAGAAGTAATAGTAGTAGTAGGAAACACAACCCAATATGACCTAATTTGACTTGGCGTAGGGAAATACCAATGCATTGTTTACTTCAGAACATAAGTGCCATGTCACATGAAGCATTACAATGATGCGAAATGTGTCCGTCATTGCAGACAATATCCAGCAGAGGGTGCAAGTGTTTCACAAAAAGAGACTGAAGAGTTTATGTTAGCATTAGACCACAGTGTAACACTCTTTGATTTTTGTTGTAGATGAACAAAGCAATAAGGGGCAGTTGTGTGTTTAAAAAAAATAAATGCAATCTTTCAGTGTTTATAGTCAAGGTCAGAGTTTCCGTCAGTGCTGAAGTTAGTCACATTGTTATAGTCAGAAAACCTTAGCTGTATGTTGTCTAATAATAAGGCATTCAAAAAACTTTAATATCAAGTTTATTAAATCATGCAGAATTTAACCTTTCCACCTACAGACAGGGAACATTTCTGGGTATTTATTACAAAGGGCTTAAAAACAGAAACTATCATGGGTTCACATTGTTATTACCTTAAGATTTGGCATAAAGACATAAACAGAGGGAGCTGCTCAGCATCTCATGTGACTGAAGATTCAGCCAGCTTGCCTACTTCTTCTCTGCTCTGGATGTATCGGGTGTATCCTCCTGCTTGCAGCCAAGCCAGAATTTTGCGATAGATCGTGGGTAGGGAGGGTTGACAGAGTCCACACGTTTTGTCTGCAGATCCACTCTGTAGTATTTATCTGCAGTCAAGAAGATAACATAAATGAATCAACAAAAAAAGTGCTTTGGAATTAAACTTAAAATGAGAATAAAAATCTTGCAAGTATTTTTTTTTGCCTATTTTTAAGTATTTTGTTATATCAAAACACATTCAAATTTGTGGATAAAAAATACTTAACGTGTTCATACCTCTATTGAAAAAATACACATTTTGGACAGGTGTACTTTTGTGCTCCTGTGGGGTGATCTCATCAATCATGTCGCTTAAGTGGCTAAAGTCATACCAATCATCATAACCCCAAAGGTCCTCGAACAACGTTTGGCGACTGTGCCTTCCCCGATGTCCGCGTCTCCGGCTGGGTTTCCTCCTCCGGTTGCCCCGCCTCATAGACGGTGGAGGATATGAGGTAGGCTTGGGACTGAGATAGACCCGTCCCACCATGGCAGCATCAACGGGGGTCCTGATGCCCGGCCAGTCCCTGCTGGTTAAACGGGCCCCTGTGTGGTGACTGCTGACTGAAAAAAGAGATCAGAATCAAAAAACTATGGAGTGATTCCTTCACATAGAAAACAAACACAATTTGAAATATTTAGAACAAAAACTCGTCATAGACTTACTGGAGCCTCCAAAGAGCTCAGTAAATACATCCTCCCACGTCTGATCGCAGAAGAGGTCAGTGTATCGTGTGAACAGCACAGATGGGGAGGACATGCTCATGCGGACACACTCCTCATGGGAGGGCTGGTGTTTAAACTCGTACTGGTGATACTTGTCACCTAAAGACAGAAAGAATCAGACAAAGTGGGCTTCCAGTTATCATGTCTCCTGCTGAGGTCCTTGTGAGCTGTCAGGTCAGAAGAATTTCAGGAGCAGTACTCCTGAAGTTATCTAGATATTGACATAGAGTGCATATGTGTGCATAGAGTACATAAAAAGCTTACAATTCTTCATGTCTTTTATCTATTTTGCTCTGACAGCTATCACAAATACCTTTAAAAAAGTAAGCTTTCTCTTTGCCACGGTGACTTGGTGCAGGTACAGCAAAGGAAGCATCAATGTTGTCTGGTATGCCGTCAAAGCCAACTGAAATGTCTCGTGGGTAGTCGTCATCCAAGACGTCTCCATCAAACCTCCAGTACTGATGCCCCTGAGGAGGAGTCAGAGCGAAGAGGCCGAAGTGGTGAGGTTTTATGCAACAACTGTAATACTCAGGAAACAACACATTGCTATTTTTTACTAAGACCAAGTTCACACTTTATAACACTTCATTTTTTAAACATGCAGGAGTTCCCACGTAAAGAGTCATCAGAAAACACTGGGCTGCTTGATAAAAATACATTGTACACACCTGAGAAGGACAGAACTCTGTACCTTAAAGATGTAGGATTTTCCCTGGCAGTTGATGCGTGTGAATGCAGCATCAATTGGCCCAGTGATTCCCCACACATCCTGAATGAGTTTGGGGTAACCGGGAAGTATGGACTTGTCGTCCAATTCAAAGAAATATTCACCTTAGAGGAAAAGCAGGCTTTGTGTCAGAGTCATATGTAGAAAAATATACACATTGACAACAATTTAAATATATTAATAACATGCACAGCTTCTATAATCTACAATTAGCCAAGCAATTGATGTCCAGATTTTATTTTGCATATCAATTCGTGGAATTAAAAAAACGAACATGTACAAGACACCTTTTGGGAACATTTGGGGGCATAGACTGTATATAAAGATGGACAGAGAAACAGCTGTCTGGGAGTGAAGCCAACATATTTAGATCTCCCCTTGCCTCACCCATTTTCACAGATGAGCCATAGGTCAAAATCTATAAAAGTCTTAAATACATGCCAAATAACATTTGTCTAACATGGATTCTGTTGTGATTGCTAGTTTGCTAGTTCCTACCTGAGGAATCATATTTTAAAGATTTTATGTTTACGAAAACTAAAAACAGAGAAAGGCATGAAAAAACAGAGCCATGTTGGACAGAAATCCTTAATGAAGTCCAAGTTTACCTCTAAATGCATAAATGGACCCATTCTTCAGCTGCAGAAAAGCATCAAACGGTCGACTGCTGCAGGGTGCTGCGTTAGGGTCTGCAGGTGGTGTGGGCTTTTGTGTGGTGGTGGGTGCAGGAGCAGCTGAGGTGGTTGGGGCAACAGTGTTCAAGGCTGGTGTGAGAGTTGTAGTGTTTGGTTTCGTTAGAGCTTCATGTACGTCCTCTCCTTCCTCGAAGGTATCACCACGAGAAACTGGAGGCAGAATAGAAGAAACTTTGTCACATCCTTGATTACAAATAGGCTACAAGTTTTTACAAGTAATTTGTTCAGTAAATTGGAAATACGTTATAACTGCACTGACTTTTTTTAGGGCACAAGGTGTCAAAGTCAGTACAGCAGCTTCCATAGTACACACACATGGAATCACACTGACATTTCCTCTGCATGTCGAAGGAGCCACAGCGATTCAAACACGACTCTGTGGAAATTAGTTTATATGTTACCACATGAAATGACATGACAGACTCAAAAATGCAGATAAACACACTGGAGGAAGTGTGCAGTTCTAACAGATTTTATACATTAAAAAACTATATTCTTGCAAAATGCACACATATTTACATATGACAGTCTCTAGAGAAGAAGTTGTAAACTTCTGAATCATTTTTTTACTTGATGTATTTATTAACAATATCTGCAATTAAATGGGGCTGTAAAGCTTTTACTTCACATTTGAATAGCTGATCTAGAAGACTTACCTTCTGCAGAGAAGGTGGTGTCCAGCAGCAGGATAAGGCCCAGCAGAACCACTGCTGGCTTCATGTCGTCTCACAGAACTATTTTTTTAACGTAAAATGTCAAATTTAGGCTCACAGGAGACCTACAAGCACTCTGCCTGTTTCCACAGGGAGCTTGGTGAGTTTGATCTATCTGTCCCACTTTGGGGTACAGGACTGTGTGCAGATCAATAGACATTTGGAAAAGCTGTTGACCCCCAGGCGTCTGCTGTCCTGATTGGTCAGCGATCGGTTGTGATAATGATTAAACTGTGATTGCTGATCTCTGTCCCGTCTGTCCCAGGAATGCTCTCCCAAAATGAACAAGGTCACTTTAAGGCCCATGTGAATACCCGTTGACTTTCCTGTTATCTGGAAACACTAATGATAAAATGTCTGGTTATTTTATTAAAAAGACATTTGATAGAATAAATCTTGTATTGTACAATGTACAAACCAGACTAGTAACCAAAGAAGTGTGTTATCCTGCTGTCAACATATTTTTTTATTTACTGGATTTGGAGCTTGTGTTCAAATGATGGGAGTCTAAGCTCAGACATTGTGTAACCAGAGCAGTTTTTTTTCTCTATTGATCCCTGGTGTAAACAGACAACTCTAAAGCAAACACTGTGCCCTCTTCCAAATTTAACTCTGATAAACCACAGTGCCATTTTAACAAAGAAATACAACATCAAAACTATAGGATATATTTAATATAATGTTCGACGTGAGATTTTCTGACAGTATTTGATGATCAGATTCACCATCATTGAGGGACACAGAAGCTTAACCAACTCGTCAACAACAGGCAAAAAGACGGAGGCTGTGACTGATGATGTTACAATCAAACAAAATGTCCTTCAGGCATGTCTGGCTCTGAAGCTCAAATTCAGCAGTGAATAAACCAATCCAAACACCGAATGAAGTCAGTGTTTACGTGTGTGTTTGTGTGTGTTTTGTGAAGTGCTTGAAAAACTTGTTGTGGACAGATTATATCGGCAGGTGGACTTTGGTGTGGTTTTCAGTATCAGTTAGTGGGGATACTAATGATTAGGTTGCTCCAATATCTCTAAAAGCTGTCAATCAATAAGTCAGACTGTTATAAAAGACAACTTAAAAGAACAGAAGAAACAATTTTTTTTAGAGCTATTTTTTTTAGATTCAGCAGAAACACGGAAGACTGTTTCTGTATTTGGTTCTCTTTTGAACCCTTAAAACTAAATTTGAAGTTCTCCCTCCTCTACAAAATGTTTGATGTGTGGTTGGAGATCCTTTTGCCATCCTTACATTTATGAATAATAACTAAGATTTAACACCTTAATTGCCTTTTTTTTTTGAAGACATTTTGATAAACTTCATGCTACATTAAAACAATGTTTATTAAATGATCTGTGTGAGCTCATCTGACTGAAGATTTTATATGAATCCTTTATCCACAACTGAACTTTTGCCTCATTATCAATTACATGTATACATCTGGTTTAATGAGAGGGCCCCTTTTGTGTCAAATATTAAGCCAGTCTAACAACAAGTCAGTGACCCATCTTCTGACGAATAGGAGGCCAGCTTTCAGAAGAACATGATCATAGAAACCTTTGAGCTTTTCATTATGGACCCGACACTTTAACTCTGTCTGTCATAAAACGAGTACAATCACAGTATGAAGCTCAGGCTGATTCTTCGTTTTGGAGCATTAGTTGGTATGGCTATTACATGATCAAAGATTTGAATTTTTATTCCTTTGTTATTTGAAAATGTTGAAAGCAGTCAACAATAGCTTTAACTGTAAGGTTTTAACTTTGGTCATGAAAGAAGTCTGAAGCAATGAAGGACTTAGAAAAAACAAATACTGTTAAGGAGACAAGTTGAATAGACAAATATTAAGAAAAAAAATCAATACGTTTCAATGATTTAAAGTGAGTTATTTTCGTCGAAATTGGTAACCATACATCCTTATGTAACACATCATAACATCATGATTGGATTTTATACTGTGTGGATTTTATGATTTAAGTGAAGTCAGCCTTATCTCACATTTTAATTGCTGGAACAAGTAATAAAACCGCAGCACTTGTCGATTATAAATATGACACATGGATAAATTTAGCCATGATAGACTTAAAATACTTTTCTTATGCTGCTCTTTCATTATTTAGGCTTATGGACAGATTAGGAGACTTAAAAGCTCCTAATATTTGTTTCATAAAAAAATAAAATAAAAAAAACCATTGTTCACACTGTACTCAAAGTATAGAATCTATTGTTCTCACTCGCAAATAAATCTATATTATTATCGGATTAAGATAAAATAAGATAATCCTTTATTGATAACAGGGTTACTCAATATACAATACATAGCCTACTATACATTACGATACGATGGGCATGACCCAAAATAATGATATCATCACAGTACAGGGATTATCATTTTATTTCAAGCACTATTGGCCTCAGACTTAGTTCCAATAAACAGATAAGGTTCCTGACTGTAGAGAAAAAGGATGAGACAGGCAACAGGGCTTCTTTTAAGTTTAGCTTCGCAAATCCAAACGATGCCCCATGCCTTACTAATAATATTTTGTGCTGTGAGGGCCAGGAAGGCTGTTTCATACATGTGTCCAATGACTGTGCAAAGCTAAATTAGCCAGTTGTATGAAGCTATTCCGTTAAAATTAGACTACTATATTGTTTTCACAAACTTAAAAATCTGAATTAGACATTAATAATAACATTAATAAAGTGCTCAGTCATGTCAGTCACGTAGTAATGTGATTTGCTAACATTTTGCCACATTAGCATGTGTTCATACAACAAATAATTGAACGTGGTGATCTCTAATTTTAAGATCCAGTTATTGAATTATATATATATATATATATATATATATATATATATATATATATATATTTTTTTTTTTTTACATTTTAAGATATCACTGATATGTACTGTATTTTCAAAGCTGGGTTCAAATCGTCATTCAGTTTTATCTTCTATCTCTGATAAGCGATAAAATATTTCTTCAACACAAGTGATTTTTGACCACACCAAAGTACAAATAATGAGTTTCAGTAGACCTTGCAGCAAAATCTGAGTGACAGAGTTCTTTTAACTCAGCTGAAACACTCATAGCACATGACTTTTGGTTAACCCTGAAAAAACTTTGCTCCCCTTAGATGACAAACCTGTCCGATGTTTTGCTATCTTTCTCTTCATCTCTCAATCTTATTTTATTTTGTTTATTTTGACAGGGACAGTGTACAGCCATTTAGCTGTACCAGAGTTAGCTATAAGCTAATTTACATCTGTAGTCCCTGGGCAGGAGACAGAGACAACGTCTCTGTGAAGAAACAAAACATAGACTAACAACATCTTCACAACAATAAGACAGTACACAACCACTGAACAATGGCATTACACTAGTCCACAGTGAAATTCATACATTATATTAAAACAATAATAGGCTAACAGCACTTAACTTTAAAAACTTCACTAAAAAAACACAGCTATACTGCAACATACTGTATATCTCCAATACACCACAACAGCAAAGCCATAATAACATACTGTATCAATACGCTACAACATTATCAAACATAGTTCATGAAAAAGTGTTTATGTGTGATGAGGACATGATTGAGTTGATTTGAGCCATGATTTGATTTTAAATTTAAATTCAGCAAAGCTACTGCACTCTCTGATTTTAGCCGGTATGGAGTTCCAAAAATGTGTAGCTCTAATAGAGACGGCTGATTTGCCAAACTCAGAGGATCTGTGCTGTATAACACAGTCCCCTCTGTTGGTGCTCCTAGTTGTTCTTCCTCCATCTGCACGTGGTGATATGAACTCTTTTAGTGGGGAAGGAGCCAGACCATTAATAACTTTATACACTAGCTAAGCATCAGCAAGACCCACAACATTGTCAAAGGTTAGGAGGTTACACCTCTGAATGATGTTACAGTGGTGGCTTTTTGTCCAGTGCCTTGAGTATTTGCTTATACAGGGTTTGGAGAGGGGCGAGTGTTGTTTTACCTGCTTGCGACCAGCTTGTGATACAATATGACATGCGTGAGAAAATCATTGAGTGCACATATAGCTTTGCTGCATTAATGGGTAACTGGTTTCGGATAAACCTAAGTTCCTTAGGTTAAATTTTATTGTGTTACACAGTTGTTTCACGTGTTTCTTAAAAGATTATCACTATTATTATTAGGCTACTTCAACTTCATTTGAAACAGGCTGTTCAATATGATTTTATCCACCTCTTTCAACCTTTACAATCACCTCTTTTACGACAGCTTCATCTTCCTCACTCTCTCTGTGTTGTTAAGTTAATGTTTGATATGCCGCGAGAGAGAAAAATAGATTAGATAACAGCCATAGTCTCATTTCCTTAGTGGTTCCATGAGGAGACTTCTTTACTTTTCCACAGGTTCAGTCAAGCTTTAACGTCAGTTGAGCTTAGTGTGGGGTTTTATTTTGATCTGTTAGCGCCTCTTTTTTCCACGTAGACCAGTTGGTGTTGTTGTGCTGCCACTCATAGTTCCCCGGGTGACTTTTCCTAAGCTTTTCAAGTATGGGTTTTGCTTTTACATCTTTTAAGAGAATCCTGCGTCGTTGGTTATTATGGCTGTTGTACCACAGAAACTACTTCATCATCATTCTCACTCCACTTGCACTGCTTCCTCTGCCAATACTCATCCCTACACCGGTAAGTGTGTTTGAGTCATTACTTTTGGTTAAAGGAGCATCATAGGAGAATCTAAAACATTTGAAATTGATGTGACTGGGCCAAATATATTTGCCAGTGTGCCCATTTGTTCTGTTTTCTCTTCTTTAGTCACTGTATTGTTCAAGTCAGAGAGGTAAATCATAAAAAAACATTTAATATGCTTGGCCAACACTAAATGAGATTAGGAAGAAACATCACATCCCAATAGTGCTTTCATTTTTTATGAATAAATAAATCATCTAACATGAACAATGTAGTTTTGTAGCTGCAACAAGTGACTTGCCTCGTCAGGAAACATTACTGCACTGTGTCATAGCTCACTTGCTCAAACTGGAGAAAAAGTGTTGAATGTTGTGTTAGCTTATATGGAAAAAAAACGTTTAATTATACTGAGTCAAAACATCTCGAAACCACAACAAAGACACACCGGTTTT